GCCACTTTGTAACATTTGCTTGGATTTGACCGACGAATGAGTGGTGGCAATGAATCTCTAGGAAGACTCGTTCGGGAGAAGATCTGTGTCCAGTTTTTGTAACTAAGCTGCAACTAAGATGTAACAGATGTTCCCCTGTTTAATGGTCTGTAACCGGTCGGTTGGCATTTCCGAATAAATAACTCCGCAGGGAAGGCCTTCTTCCTTTCACCGTGGTCGACTTAGCGAAGGCCTTCTTCCTTTCACCGGTGGTCAACTTCAGCTCCAGAACAAGTACCAATCAAATGATTTGTCCCACGAATGCCTCAATGAAATCCCAAGACAAATACACTACATGAGGTATTACTGTAGTGAGGTGTTCTACTCTGACTTGTCAGCACTGCTTGCACATGAACCTCTCATCAGACCGGTAGTCGTTATATGACTAAAGGAAACCTATGACGAATTTTACAAGGTTCATTGTCTGCTAGACCCTCGGCCATGATAGAGTAACGGGTCAATATTTTGGGACAGCAAATACCGTAAGCCATTGCTCCGTTGTTTGAACATCGTTGAATTTAACGTTGTTAAGCCTCGGAAAGGACAAAACTGCTCTCCAATGCATCGCTGCTTATTGTCAGGTACTACACGCAAAGTCGATATCCAACTCCGCTATGGGTTGAGGACTACTTTATCCGTAACTTAGTCTCCACCGGACTCCATCTTAGATGGAGATGATATTGAACCGTAGGGCTTGTTCTGCACTGACAGTGGGATTGCTAATTCAGCATATCTTACATCAGCCCAAGCAGCGCACGTTAGCATCTGATTAACCGGCTGAAATATGAATTTTACTGAAACTAGAACACCGTTAAGATTGTATCATTCACATAACCTTTCGGCTGCAATGCCCTTCCGGCGTCTAGCTGCCATGCGCGAAGGCTGGGATATTGACAGGTTTCCCAAGCCCAGACAGGGGAAGTCGAGATGCAGATACACAACTAGATGTCCAATCAGCAAGTGTTGCAGTAAATGCATCACTTGACAAACAGAACCATCGCTTAATAGTTCCACGAGTGCTCTGACATAATACTATATGGTCCATTTGCCACCGAGGACAACTCACGATTCCCAGCTCAGGCTGAAGAGTTCTATTACATGTCTCCACCTTGAAGAGACACCGTGAAATAACAAAATATTTTATCGAGGGGAGAGTTTCCTTGTGAATGGGGTTGCTGATAAGAATCCCAGTGAAGGATTCATGTACCGGAGTGATGGAACTTCTATCATATCCTGGTACCTTAAACAAATTTTACGGATGTGCGATGGACTATGCTTGCATCCAACATTCCATGCTTCTGCATATCCGTAATTGAAACCGTTGTGGACCACATTCCCTTGATGCCTTCTTACTACCGTTGAACCCCGGTCTGGATAGCCGCCTGGTGCGCTTGGTCAAACCACGAAAGTCAATGAACGTGCGAGCCAGCTGCTCTATTGATCACTGTCGCGTACAAGTGATACTAAGAACACAACTTTTCTGTCAAGGGCGAGTGAAGAACAACCAATGGAGTCTGTCTCAGCGAAAAACGGCTATTCCATTGGCAGTTATTTAGTCCCGTTGGGAGTTGGTTCTCCTAATAGAAACATACGTGTACAACGTCTCTAACGTGAATATTCACCGTCGTTCCTGTCGTATGGGTCAATACGAATACCCAGTTAGCTTCACTCCAATAAAGACCACAAAGCAAGACAATTTTTCACGAAGACCTATTCTAATATACGAATGGGAATAACGATAACTATTCTGAACTCCACGAGTTTCGGACTACAATACGTGGTTTCGTCTCACGTTCGTCATTCTCAGTTCGTGTAATTACGGTCATATGCTCTGAGTAGTGACGCTGTGAACGTTCTAAGCCATATTGTCGGCCGATCCCAACCAAGTGTGGACGGGAAGAGCTCGCAGATATGATGTGACAGTATACGCGGAATTTCCATGGGGATACAAACCGGTTTTGCGTTTGTTTCCTCAAGAGTAAGGAGTTCGGTGAAAAATCTGTTGCGCTGAAGTCGTTCCCTCAGCTAGAAATATCTTCTCATGAGGCTGAATTACCAAGTAGTCCGATGGTATTTGTTCCCTAAGAACTCGCCAGCTGGAGCCTTGGCTGCTCGCCTAACCCGCTTACTCTGATTCAAATGTGTGCACAGTCTGATGAATAAGCCCAGCCTTCCCGGACGAGGACGGTTATTTTGCTGGTTGATCACATGGCCGTTGATTTGCCCGCTGAGCTTCGCAATTAGCTTGCAAACGTTTCGTCACGAATCCAGGTGATATCATCAGTACGCGGATGATGTCACAGTGATAATGATGCATGGTAATGCGCACTGATGATGTCACCTGGATCGTTGACGAAACCTTTGCAAGCTAATTGCCAAGCTCAGCGAATAGATCAGCAACCACCTAATCAACCACGAATGAGCGCACTCGAGTTACTAATATTCCGGTACGTTTCCAACTGATTTATCTCCGCTTTGACCTCTTCACTTTGTCCCATACTATATCAGGGAATTCTTCTTTCAGTCACAAATGTCTAATGGGCACACTGTTTTTAATTTAGGCGTGACCAGTACAGGTTCAGTATCCTCATCTCATCAACCAGGGTTGAAACTGCGTCAGTTGTATTCGCTTCAACAAGTCACTATGGATTACTGGGTACTAAAGACGTTGATGTGACATCGATTGCATAGCTATTCTGTTAGCAGGCTAATGTCGTGTAAATTCATGAAAAGCGCCTTTCTGGGTCTCCCGACCAGAGAACCATCAACGCCGTCTCCAGTTCACTGAACTCAAACTATCTGGCAACCTGAGGCATCTATGTAGACTGACTCATCGGACAAAAACGCAAAAGTTGCGTTTTCTGCGATCGATCACCTGATTAAAAAAACACAACAGCCCAAGTAAAAACCAAGGACGTAATATAAAATGCAATGTACAAGAAGTCCTGTTCTATAAACTAAGAAGTTTTTCACCTTATTGGGCAATGTGGCAGACTTCCAATGGGCATTATCACTACCGTGGACACCGAGTTGAATTAATACGACAACCAGGGACTAAAGAATAAGTAGTATGCACAGGCCTGATTTGAGACCTTCCAGAGAAGCTGGATTTTAGACGTATGGATGCATACCTCCACACTGTCATTTTCTTGTGCACTGGCACAAGTTTGGATGACTACATAGGAGAAGACTCCACTCCACCACCCGTCTGCCTTGCACTAAAGACGACTAACCGTTTCAACTTTTGAAATCGGTTTTCGGGTTCACGGCAGTTGGTGGGGCTTCCATTAAAAATGAGACAAATGTATGATATGTTCTCAAAGAAGTGTGTACACCTTAATATTGAGAATCAGGTTTCAACTGACCACTGATGTTGATTAATCTAATTAGCAACACGCACCCGAGATCGACCGGTCTAGTGGATCATGCTGTTTTACCTTCTCCAGTAGATTCACTTCAGATGGTCACATTGCACAGTGGTTTTGACCTTAGGGTAAGTGCACTTGGTCATGTGCGATGACATTCGCTGCCTCCTGTGTGCGGCATTACGTGATGATTTGAAGAAAAAATCGATTACTGTGATCGAACAGTCTCGTGCATCTGGCTTATTATCATTGTTATGGCGGCAGCGAACAAGCACACGGTCAAACGAGCGGTATATTCTCTAATTTTCGTCGTTTCCTTCTTGTGTCGGTCATATGGAGTGCATGCTGAATCACTATTGACGCCTTTGAGACCAAGAGAAATTCGTTTTCTTTTCACTCACTTTACACCGTTTGAAGACATGAATTATCCTTCTTCAAGAGCACAACGCATGGGCTTTCGTCGTTCCTCGCTACCACAGAGCGAATCTAATTTCTCCTTTTGGGAAAATATGTCGGCCGATCTGCGTGGCATAATTGAAGCCTACGTTGCACAAGCCAGAGCTGTGAGGAAAGGAAGGAAAATTTCAACCTTCCACGAATTTCTTACTAAAATGGTGCACGGACCTCGACATGACGAGGATCTTTTTCTATACCATCTTCTTAATAATGCGACAACAACCATATTCTTCCGCAACAAAGTTTACTATGAATTTCTAAGAGGTTTCTTGGATGAATACATTCTTCCGGCGCGCAGTGCTGTCTACAGGGAACCTTTGTTCATGTCTGTCATGAAAGCCTGGAAAATAATTCACCTCTTGCAAATAAGCAGCTCACATGTGTGGTTTGGGAAACCATCCGGGACCCACACACTTGTGGCGGGTACGCTGAGTAAAATCCACGATGAGTGGAGTGTGATGTTTATTGGTCATTTCTGCCATGCAATTCGGGAAAACAAACTCCAAACTCCGACTGGATTTTGTCCTGATCCTTGTCTTGCACAGCCTTGTTCGGGAATTACTGGAACTTCGTCTTCGAAATGCACTCCGTTTGGTTTCAGTCCACGGGAATATGATTGTGTTTGCCAGCCTCAACATCAGTGGGTAAGGCCGTCCAGAGAGCGGCCGGAAGGTAAGGCAAATTGCAATCACTTATGAGTTCACAACTTCCTTTCTCATTACCTTGAGCTTCTTTGACAACTAGCACTGCTACTTCTGCTTCATATTTTAACCAACGAGGACTTTGTCGCAACAGACTTACTGGAACCAGACACTTCGAATCACCCACATCATTGATGTTAGCTATCTCGGAAGAATTATCTAGTTTCCTGAATTCCTAGGACTGAGGAGTCCTAGGATGAGCGAATAGTGATGAGGTGTTCAGTGATGCTGATCGAGCTACAAAGACAGCGGTGATCATAAGGGAGTGAGGTGGCTGAAGTGGTTAGAGCCAATTTACTGATCGGAATGCCGAATAGTGATGAGGTGTTCAGTGATGCTGGTCGAGCTAGAAAGATAGCGGTGATCATAAGGGAGTGAGGTGGCTCAAGTGGTTAGAGCCAATTTACTGATCAGATGTCCGTGGTTTCGAGCCCGACCTCTGCCTCTCTACTTCCCCTGTCTAGGCTTGGGCGATCTGGCAGTATCTCAGTCCTTGTGCTTCCTTCGGGTTGCGTGACAGCTAGGCACCGATAGGGTGTTACCGCTGAATGATTTACTTAGTTTAATACGGGAGTCAAAAAAGTCCCTAATCTGTATCGAAGCGTCGGGTGGTGGAGTTTTGTTGATCAGCTAAACAGAGGTGTTGGTCAACTTGATAGGCAAATGGGTGACATAGCAGTTTTTGTCATCCCATGCTTGCTAATATCTTCTTTAGCTCCAGCCCACAATCTTAGACGGTCGTTTGCAGATCACGAGAACAAGAGTTAGTTGTGATGGATGTCTAACTGGACTGACAGGCAGGTCACTCGATCGACACAGCCATTACTTGGTCGTCGTTCTGATCATTAAACGTGCTGGTCGCAATACTGGTCCACGTCGTATCCAAGGTTTGTACCCGGGCTACATCAAATTATTTCAAGTATACTTTTGAATCACTTTATCTCTGTATCCAAATTCTATCGAATCAAGCGCAAGCATGTCGAAGAGCTAACTGGCTTGGTTTACTTACCGATTGCCACTATTATGTAGTCAATTGCGTAATGCAAGCCTGCTCCTTGATGACAGGTTGGTTGATTACTGACTGTACGATATTTAATACTTCATTCCCCTTTTGGAAGGATTCACTCTTCAGGCTGCGGAATTTGGCCTTCCCAGAACCAGCGCAGTCTCATCCCATTCGCCATCTCGTCGGTTTCTGCGTCAATTCAAGGCTACTCACAAGTAGCATAAAATAAACGAAATAAGGGAAGCTGCAAGAGCGATCGAACGGTGCTTTCCTAGCACGCGAGAAACATGGCGGTGAGACGGGTAGAGTAAGGCCCACGAACCGATGGAAAGTACATTAGTCTTTGGAACAGAGACGTTACGAAAGATCCGAGAAATGGTTACAGTCGCAAGAGACCTAGTGACAGAGGCACCGGAAAAGCTCTTGATCGGAGTGTGGTCTTGACTACTGTTTGGTGGAAGTATTCCAAAATTGTGAAGATATGTCTGTTCATCGTCTGGGCTTCAAGGGATTTGAACTCATACAGGCTGCTTGCTGCGGTTCCTGAAATATGATTGGGTGACCCTAAATCTGACAAGGAGTGATAATTATATGTCAGACGAGTTCAGGACCGAAAGCTGAGAATACGTACGGTATGGTCGCATAGGGTTCTGAGTGATTAATGGATTCGCAACACCGTTATCCATCCTGGCTAACACTTACCACCTTGTTGGATAGGGGTACTGAGAATCCAGAAAGAAGCGGAGAACTAAGAAGATTCTGGAACTTCTGAGAGGCTGAATTTAAACAAATCTGACGTGGACGTCATCCTGTTTGTGTGAAAAGAGGATGTAGCAAAATTACAGGTACTGTGTGCAATGGGTCAACGTCACGAGATGAGGAGCAGTGTATCTGATTGTTTCGTGATAACTGATCAAAGGGGATGGTTTTTGAGGAGGAATGTGTTACGGTTCGATCACGCAGCGAGCAAACAATATGATATGCGGATCGTGGCAATACTCTATCCCCAACTATGTTGCTTGATCTAGACTCTTTAATGATCCAACAACACGCGATCAACAGGCGATCATGGGAAAAAATGACAATGCATATATATATTCATAGTTTGACCTTGAAGATGCCGGAAGTTCGCTAGGATGCATAAAAATATAGTTTTTTGGGGGATATTGATATCCCCAACACCTCCCCTTGTGAAAAGTCAGTAACATACTCGACGGGGGTCCACCTGGATACGTTCCGGCTGGCGGCGGCGTCGGTCTGTCCACCGCCTGGGAAGAAGTGTTGGATCAAATACTGAGCTGCCGGTCACACTCTCCTCTTTCGAAGCTGTCTCAGTTTTCAGCTCAAAAGTATCGAGCAATATGTCCAACGGTATGCTACCCGAACATACTTGAGTTTCCGGCGTGCTGTTAAAGCGGAGTTGGTTTTGATGTCTGGTCCAGGTGTCTTGACCAACCGACACGTCGTACATTACACTACCGCGTTTGCGCAGGATACGACCTGCAATCCATGAATCATGTCCTGGGCGATAGTCACGGACAAGCACGGGCGTTCCCACCTTGAACGGGGTTCCAACTGCCACCGGTATGAACCTTGACTCAGTAGGTTGTGTTGGCAACATGGAAGAATACACAGTTCTAAGTTTACGGCCCATGAGTACCTCTTCAGGTGACTGGTGGTTTGCCAAAGCGTCATTCGGGGTCGTTCGGTACACAAACAGGAATCTC